GGGGTGGGGAGGGGGGAGGGGGGAGGGGGAGGGGGGCTTTAAGCTAGGTACACATCGAAATTCGATCGAGGCGTCTCGTTGTCCTTATGATCGAAGTGTGTCAGCGCGCCACTCGCTAGGCCAATTTTTCTTTTCTTCTTCTTGGCCGCGATTGTTGGCATCGGCTTTTCCCGCCCGAGACGCTTTGCGAATCTGCCCGCATAATCGGCTAATCGGATACCTCGGAGCGCTCATCTCCATTAGCGCGTTTGTGCTGAATGTCGAAGACCCGACTATGGGATTTCCATGCATTCCTCTCGAGATCGTAGATGTAAAACCATTACTTAATCGGGACGCGATATCGTTGCTTTATATAGATCCAAGCAGAAAATCTTCATTGTTTACTTTATATTTTGCATTCGTGATATTTACTATTGATCCTTCATCGTGATATATTAATACTCGCAGGTGTTAAAAGTTGGTATTTAATTTCACACCGACGTACTCTGACAATTACTTGCATTGCTTTACAATGAATCGTTTCTTGAAGCTAATCATTGAGCATAGTTCATGGTTTTATGGTAATGAAGAATTTGCAATCGGCTTCTTTTCCACTTGCTATGCTCACTTACCAAAAAAAAAAAAAAAACCACCACCGAAATATATCAAACTCCTATGCTAAATTATTTCTTATGAGCTTATTTACTGTACTGCCTATTTACAATACTACTACATAAATATAGCTAAATACTACGTTTAAATATGTCTTACGACAATTTTCATGAATAATGTTTTATCTCGTAAGTTACATTACCGTACATCGCTCAAGGTAAAGATAGCCTTTGTTTTGCAATTTCCTTTTCAAGGACAGACCTAGAACTTTAATTCGATTATGCAAAAAATTATTATAATGCATTAGCCTTGTATTTCAAAATGTCTAATTCGATCATTTATTCAACACTCGTTCGCAAATACATGCTTCTTCTACTTCCTTTCTAGCCTTTTCATTTTCATCATCGATTTATTACGATTTATTTCTAGAATTAATCCTGCCACGATTTATGAATCGAATAGCACGCCATTCTAAAGCAATGCTTAATCAAAAATTCCCTTATCTACATTATTGAACGACGACAACGTAGGCGGCTTCTCGAACGTATAATAATACTGAATGAAAGGAAGAAAGAAAGGAGAGAGAGAGAGAGAGAGAGAGAGAGAGAGAGAGAGAGAGAACTCATCGCAGCCCGCCGCAAAGAGAGCTCCTTCGATTATATTATAAAAAAAATTCGAATATTATAAAATTACAGGATAGTCTCGATATTTTTGCTTTTGCCCAGTTGCTTTTCATCAAAGTACAATTCCGAGAGAGCATTTTTTTCTTCAATTTTCTCGTGCTTTCCATTGTAATTTTTAATTGCTCGAACTACTTAAATGCATTATTACATTACCGAGCTGTTCGTATCAATACGCGGGAAAATGATAATGTACTCTTGAAAATCTCTTTCGCGTACAAGCAATAAAGTTTGGTGTGACTTTGATGTGAAGCAAGTTCAGTCTCTCGCTCGCTGGCATTGAAGTTTCCATTGTATTTTTATTTATTCCAGGCTTTTCACGAACGCACTTATTTAGTAATTTGCTCGGTACTCGCGCCTCACCCGAATCAATTATTACATTATCCCGTACTTTATGTTTTCTGGGAAGAAGATGAGTCCAATTGCCCGGGTATTGGACGTCGAGCATTAAACGCAATTTCGCGACGCCTTCGATAAAACGAGGTAATTATTCATTCAAGTTAATACGAGTGGGTACGTATTATCCGCTTATTAATGCGTCGCATACGTCGAGGCGCGCGTAACGACGTTATTCGTAACTCACCCTAACCTTAAGATAATAGTCGCGGGCAGCGGCGATATCATGCCGATCGATCATGACCATTAAGAATCAATGAGTCGGCAAGAAAACGCGATAAATAAACATTTTGATGGAGATTGGACATCCCCGCGAGTGCACGGGACGCACCTGTAGCGCCTCGCGCTTACAAGCTCATTCTCATTCGCGCGAGATTATTCGATTCAAGGGCAACGGCTTCGATCACAATGAGATCCCCCCACCCCTCCCCCACCGATTCTTACATAATGAGCACGCTTGGCGACTCGCCGCCACCGCCGTCGCCTTACAACGCACACGTGGAATAACGAATGCCGTGTCCCATTAACCTACGTGTCCATCGGGATTCCACTGCCTAGCTGTTTTCTTCAAAAATTTCGCTTCCTTTACGCCACCCTCGCCTCGCCACCGTTTTCCCTGCCCGCCATTTTGCAGAGTAATATGCTGCACCACGGAGACGTAATCTACTGCACCATACCTCGGCCCCCTATACTCGTCTTCATATTTTTCTCATAGCTTATTCAGGCCTCTTGTGCACGCGATACAACCTCTTTTAACACCCATCCATCTTCAACTCTTTAGCTTCTCCGGCATATTATTCTAAGTTTATGCTCGTCCGAGCATTATCGTGACGAAGAGTTCCACCTTAATTTCATGGGCTTTTTACTTTTTGTTCACATCCGAATACAGGAATGGCGATGGGTATCCTTTGCTTTTGAATCGTGTCTAATTTTTTTTCTTCTTCTATTTTATCTTTATTCTTTCCAATCTAATTTTCCCAAAACAAACGTGATTGTTGTTGTCGTTGTTGTTGTTGTTGTTGTTGTTGTTGTCGTCGTTTCTTACGATACATTATTAGACTGTTACATAATTTATAAGATCTATTTGGAAGTAATCAGTAGCCACGAACGATGTGCGGAGCGCGGTTATTCAATGGCTTAAGCGCAAAAAATTTCTGCTCAAAACAACTCGAATATTTTACGTTTATCCGTGATATTTACGTGCTAATCTTGCGTTAATATTACTCTTGGCATTAATCATAGAATTCGCAGGGAATACGAAGATCGAAAAAGGCGCTTAATTAGCATGCGATGCTTTAGCCTCGGAAAAAAGAGCGTAAACGCTGGCTCGAATGAAAATATACGTGAAAAGCCAAAAGTTTCATACGATAATAATGACATCGTGATTCCAGTGAATCGTCGAGTGATGGTGCTCGATCACCACACCATGAAAATTAATCCTATGAAAATTTATTAACTTCGAGCCGCGCGCGTACGAAAACATTGCCAATTAATGATACATCGACTATCAATGTTGACAATGTCAGAGTTTCGATAAATTCGATTTCCAAACTCAAGTGCCGCTTTGTCTGGAGGAGAAATCCGGACTACCGTAATATCCACCCCCGTAGGGAAGTCCTTTCCCATCTTCCATCGGCAGATCCACTACCAGTAATACGTTAAAAAGTGTCGAGTACCCGTGTGCGCGCATTAATTACATGCATTTTGCAATGCATTGGCGGCAGCGGCGGCGGCTCGGGATAATCGAGCGCTTCGCCGACTATTGCTGCAGCTACTGCAAGTCCTTGGCTCGGGAAACTATATAAAGAGAACGTTTAATTGGTCGGCTGGGCATAGCATTTTTCAGTGGTGTCTTGTGCGTAGCCACAATGTCGACGACGACGATGCTATTCTGTGCTATTCTCTGCGCGCTCCTCGTAGCCCAGGCATCCTGCGCCGAGGAAGTGTCACTACGTGAGTTTCATAATTATCCATATCCTTTAGCGACGTGGACATCTCCTTCGTCACGGTTGCCGCTACCCGACATTCGCTGGCTTTCTACCACCGAGATACAACTCTGTGCTCTTTACCCAAGCTCTTTATCCGCTCTTTCCTGATCGCATCTGATTAATCAATAAGATTTTCCATCGCTGCTTCCAATATCGATCCTTCTTTCTCCCACGCTATCTTTTTTGCTTTTTCTTTCGGAATTTACGCACAATGAATCGAGAACGTAATATGTAAACACGTTTTGCTCCCTATCATTCGATGATATATTTCGTGGGTTTGAAAGGTACGCAACTCCACGATTCGTAATGAATACGAAGAGAGATTGAATTACTTTATCGCAACATCACTTATTTGAATCTGAAAATTAATTAGAGTCTGGGATTATCGATCGGCTTAGAAGCCGATATTAAACGTTAATCTGATAATGACATTTATTTTAATTTTAGATATTATACTACTACTACTACTACGACTACTACTTATACTACTACTACTACTACTACTACTACTACTACTACTACTACTACTACTACTACTACTACTACTACTACTACTACTACTACTACTACTACTAATATACTACTACTACTACTACTACTACTACTTATACTACTACGACTACTTATACTACTACTACTATTAGTACAATAGATTTCATAATGAGTCGAAATACGAAATAATATCGTACAATTATTAATATAAATTTTCATTGGCACATGTAGATTTGCATGGGAAAATAGGCATAACACTTCAATTGTTACATATATTTGTGAATGTATTTTTTCTTTTTCTCTTTTCTCTAGTTCTTCTCAATCTTTGGCAATAAGCGTAAACTTACCCCAAATAATTTATCCCTACATCGTTTTTAACAGTTAAAAACTAATATTTCAATGAAACTTCATTACTTTTGATGCCTTGGATCAATCGTACTATCATTAATCAATAAAATTAAATAACATTAATTATGAAACTGGCACACGAAGATGCATTTATGTATAAATGTATTAGCTTTAATGAAACACAATGATATAACGCGACATTTCAATATGCGCGTTGTCCTTTAGTATTTTTCGCACAGTTAGCAATGATGTTTTCTTGTACGTCATAAAAAAAAAAAAAAAAAAAAAAAAAAACTCCAAAAATAATATTGTAAAATATCATTCATGTAATTACTATGTGCAGCCGTTATGCACTTAACGATACAATTAATCAATCAAATTCATCAAATTAGCGAATGAAATTTTTCGAAAATTCAAATATTCTCAATACTTTAAATAGTGAAATGTCGAAGGATGACAAAGAGAATTAAAAAATTATAGGTTCCCATCTGTATTATTAAATTGACAACTAAATTCTTTATAATCAAGAAACTTCCAGTCATTTATCAGTAACTCGATTATTATTTCGATTGCGCGTATTTGTAAGAGATTTTCCAGTCACTAAATTATCTTGACTACGTTTTTGGATAATCATGAAATATTATTACTATTCTCCAAACAAAAATTATACGTGCAATGTCCTTGAATTTACTGCCGAAGTAATGAATTAATGAGATTATGACTAAAATGAGTTTTCAAAGCTATTAAAGTTTTTCAAGTACGGCTCGATTAAGCTTCGAGTCCTAATGAAATATTTAATACAAAGAAAAGTTCCAACACCCCACGTGCCGGTACAATAGAGCCGCTCAAATTAATGCGATTGTTAATGGATTTGCAGTGCATTGATAATCCGGTTATCAAGCTACTTTCCAGGACTTATATATTAAAACAATGAAATCCTTGTAAATTCGCAAGCGAATCGTCACGGCATCGTCGTTAAGCCAAAATCATTCTCGGCGAATAACACGCTTATACTTGCAATTTAATCGATCTCACTCGGCAGCCAGTCAAGCCTCGTAAATTCGCACTTTTGTACATTTACCACAGCCTAATGATTTTACAGCAAGGAGCGTGAAAGTTTGCAATCGCCGGAGCTCGGATTACTCCTCCTGTCTAAGGCTCGCCATTCAGGAGTCATGGCTGACATTTGTCAAAGGTGAGTGTACCCCGCGCGGCAGCCCGACCCCGGCGATCGGATTATTCCTTTAAACGGCTATCGTCGAGTCCCTTAGGTATCCCGCAGTTACAGCTGCCGGTTCTCGACCCAATGAGCATGGACTACATAGAGAGCAATTACCAGGCGGCTGAGATCTCCGGCAGGTTCAGCCTGCGCGATGTTAAGACCTACGGCTTAGCCAGGACCAACTTCCTCGCGGTGCGGCCTTACTTCAGCGGCAACACCATGAATATGGAAATTGACGTGGAGGTGCCGAAGGCCTTCATCGATGGCAACTACAAGGCCGATGGCTCGATCGGATTGTACAAGATTGGAGGAAAAGGTACGTCATCGCGCGCATATTTTCTTATTGATCAATAATTGCGGGAAACTCGCGACTCGCCGTGACTCGCTTGATAAGCACGGAACACTATCGAGAAATTACGTTATTTACAAAGGGACTTGTCGGCCAACATCCACGTAATCACATTTTTTTATAAAAGTTTTTCAATCGGTCGTTATTATCGAGGATCGATAGAAATAATTATGCGGAGTACCGGTCGACCTAGCCGAGGCGTAAAATTATATTCTCCATAGATTTCTCGTTTCCATTTCCTTTATTAATTATTTATGCTAGTAAAATTTCTAAAAATTTATTGAAAATTATGCAGAGATAATAATGCATTGCGCATGTGGCAAGGTTCTGAAATGTATTTGGTCATGATATGAGGATGTGTTGTCTTCTTTTATTTCTTTTTCGTTTTTATTATTATTATTATTTTTATTTTATTTATTTATTTATTTATTATTTTTTTTTTCGTAAAGCGATTGATCATTGGAAACGAAGTATAACGATTCGAATTTAATATACGCCGAATCATCTATTCACAATATGCAAAGCCAGCCAATTGGTATTTCGACACATTAGCGGAAATATTTAGGTCGTTATAGGCGCTAAAATTATTGGAGTGCGATCGTTTTTAATGTGATACGATATTTTTTACTTTCGCGCTTTACCTAGGATATTTCAACGTGAGCATAGACCACATTAGCGCTACGTGGAGCTTGGAAGGACACGTTGACGACGATAGATGGATCATCGATCATCTCCATATCTACCCCGATGTTGAGAAACTAAAAGTACACTTTACCGATCTTTTCAACGGCAACGACGAGCTCAGTAAGTTTTTCTGTTTAGTCGCGAATCGTTTATCTCTTGATTCAGCGCCACTATTTCCCAAATATTGGCCAAAGCTTTTGATCGCAAACGCATTTGTTGCTACCTCATTGCAATCCACTGAAATTAATTAACAAAATTCGTTGGCAGCTTATTTCGTTCATAAATTGGTCTCTACGCGATACGGCTCACATCACGAATGATTATTTAATGTAATGATGATTTGCAGTAAATATAAATAATAATACATTTTGTTAAACTAACTTTTGTTAAACTCTTTAAAATGCATGTGAACGCAATGATAATACTTTCATGAAATAATAGTACAGTAAACTCTTTTAATTTAAGCACAAATTGTGCTTTGAAGTAAATCAAAAAATTTTTTTTTCTCACAAAAAATCATTACAGTATAATTAACGAAATTTATTTATTTAAATCCATTGCTTAAGAAATGAGAAATTTTATTAAAAATTATATTAGTATTCTTTAAAAAGCTATATAAATATGCTTGAATGAAGTACATTAATCGACTCATTTATACCATAATAATGTAATAAGCTTTCAAGAAATGACTTTGCAAATTTATTTTTACCTTTATAAATCCAATGCTAATGAAGAGACATTATTGATGAATACATCTATTATTATTATTAGTATTATTAAATAGTTAATGATTTAACGTGGTAAATATCATGACTGTACTAAAGTTTTATCAAGGATAAGAAAATCGAATTGCATACAACGAATATTACCATCTAAAGGAATTTTTAAATACTTTCTGGTTTATGTGTGCGTGTGTTTGTGTGTGTGTGTGTGTGTTTTGTGTGTGTTTTTGTGTCTTTTTTTAAATATGTTAATTAAAATTATAGTGATGTCCATGGAATTAACATATTAATTTATGGAAATTTCTATACAAAGTAAATGCACACAACTCATTTGTCTAGCTAAACTTTAATGTTGCATATGTTTTACCAGATTCAGAACATATACTTTATATTTTTTGTGATAAAATAACGATGCATATAAAATAGAAATTGATTTTATCTTAAAGCATTTACAATTATGTTTGTTTTAGACAAAGCGGCCCTTAGTCTCGTCAATGAATATTGGCAAGTATTTTATAAAGGATTTCTGCCGTCTCTTGAGAAACACTGGGACCAATATCTTAGCGATTTCCTTAATCGATTCATCTTTTCAAAGATCTCGGTCTCCAAAGTATTCCCATGAATTATTAGTGATGTTTTTTTTTTGTTTTTTTTTTGCTTTTTTGTCAACTTTAAATAAAAATACAAATAAAATACGTTGGACCAATGTCGATTGAATAAATTTCTTCTCAATCTTACGACTGTAAAGATGAACTAATTATTATTAAAATAGTTGTGAAAGTATTGTGAAACGTTGTACATTTGTTCTGTAAGTTGTGAAAAAAAAAGAAAGAAGAAATTTACATTATCTTAAGTACAACAAAAGCCAGTATGTTCTGTAAATAAAGAAATAAAAAAATCTTTATTCGTTTAATTTCTCCTTGTACTAATTATTAGCTTAACATTTGCCAAAACACGTAAACGGGATGAATTCTATGATATTTACGAGCATGTCTAGATACGTAGAAAGTTTTCCTGCGTTAAACAACTTTCCTTCGCTTTTAGCAAGTGCACTTGCCTACTGGAAAGTCGTATTTAAAAATTCTCTTAAACTTTCGCTAAACCTGTCATAATACCACAGATTTTTTTAGACACATAAATAAATAATTATTATGAAGCGATCGCTTGTGGAATGGGATAATTAACATACGAATTTGTATTTTCTAAATACTAAGACCCTGTTTATTTTTTGTCACTTTGATGGATGAGCTGACATTTACAATGAGCTAAATTAAAAACAACTATCTACATAAAACGGTTTATTATTTGCACCGGTAATCACTGCACGTAAAGCTACGAAAGTACCAATAAGCTTAATGTTAATTTGAAATAGCCACATTTAATGCTTCGATGAAATTTGTCGACGTTAAAGGCTAAACTTTAACAGGCGCACACAGTTATAAAATTTGCAACGTTTTCGTCTCAAATATACACGTAACGAGAAACATAAACTTAAGTGTTATGAAAAATATTTGCAAACGTCTATTGTAAGTAAGGTAACTAGATAAACAAAAAAGAAATAAATCTGAATTAACACAAGAAACAAAAAGGAAAGAAAAAACAAAGAAACAAAAAAAAAACAAAAAAAAAACAAAACAAAACGCTCGCCTTCCACTAAGATCATTCCAATAAAAATGTTTCAACCGGAACGTTACGAAGAAGTTGGTTGACGATGCCGGCGAAAAGCGTAGACAATTTCTTCTTCAATTGCGGCTCCATGATCTTTAAGACTTCTTGGCCATTTTCACGGAGGAAAAGGTTCGTTGCTTCAGCTAAAAATAACGAATTAAAACAATTATTTCAAATTGGCGTTAAAGGCAGATCTAATAAATGTATTTATATTATCCAATGGAAAGTGTGACGCCTTTATTCTTAAAGCTAATCAAAGAAAGTTCCATATACCACGAGGTAAAGTTTACGTTCGGCTGTCTCGATCGCAAGTAAATTAATCATTTTCTTATTGGTCATAGAATAAAAATTGTACACTCGAGCACGAGTCCAAGGCATTGGATTATTGGACATATTAATCTCATTGAAATTGAAATTGAAATATGAACGGCAGACTTTTTCACAATATTATCATACGACATTTACTTTTCTCCTTCAATATTCGTAAGTCAAATATTGATAATAAATCATATTTTTCCTCGCATCGTAAGCCAACAACTTTTTTTTTTTTTTTTTTTTTTTTTTTTATCAAATTTTTACGTAAATATCAAGTTTCTTGGTAATCTCATTAGCATTTTTTTTTTTTTTTTTTTCATTCAAGAGTCAATCAGGTAGATATTTACAGTGCGATAGGCTATCTAAACACCTGTTTGCCAGCTTCCCGCTGAAAATGAGACGACACGTACGATTGTTCCGAATTTGTTCAGCTGGTACTTTAAAGAGAAGCGCGACATAAAAACGACGTGGCAAGTGCTTGCTGACAACGAAGCCAACAGAAATAGAAATGGATGTTTATCTCAAGTCCTTATCATTATTCGTAAATATCGCAATGCCGAACCCTCGATTACAGTGCAATTGCCAGCGTCGAGTACACTAAATCTCGTTCGGTTCGCGTAAATATTAGGATTAAGCTTATAAGCGGCAGTAGCGAGCCTGTCCCCGGGGTCAAGAACCTCGCGATGAGCGATCCCGTCCTTCTCAACTTACTCAATATCCGATTATTATTGAAGACTTTGCGCACGCGCATGTTGACGTCCTTCACGCCGAGCTGCACGTCAAGATTATCGATGTTCAGGTAGGTCTTGCCTGAGCGCGGGTGCATCGAGACTAGGCCCCGAACGAGGGCCCGTGCCCCAGCGAACCTGGCGTGAAAGGTTCCGCTGCCGCTCGCCGGTAGAATGATCAGTACGCCTGAGCTGCAATGAGTTAGAGAAAAAGCAGAGTGAATCAGTCGACTCGCCCTTGCCGATAACTTATTAGCGAGCCGTTTTATCGGGCGTGTCTTGCATAATCCCCTTTGAGGCTTCATCGACGGGGACGTGGCGTGGCGGAAGAGGGATATGGTGAGGTCGTTAAAGATAATTATCGCTCAGAAGAGAGTAACAAATTATAGCGGAGGTCAGTGCGTTAGTGGGCGGTAGTCCGTGCACTCGAGGTGGAGTCGTGTGGCGTACATATGCTCCTAAGGAGGCATTCGAGCGTTACTCCCTCGTTCTTATAAAGAAACAATTTAGTCCTTTTAATACGTCCCTCACTTATTTATTCCTAATAAGGACTGCCGGCACTTATTTTATCTACTTGGAATTTTTCAAAACTATTTATTGCTTCTTTTTTATGTAGGCATAAGTGAGTAGAGATCATATTTTGTAGGTCACGAGCGGTTGACGGAAAAGATTTGTGGAATGGGCTTGTGTCGAATTCTCGAAAATTTTTTTAATTTTTTGTACATTATATCTAATCGTTGTTAATAAATAGCCAAATAATGAACCTTGTTATCTAAATAACTTTTACATTTTTGTACTCGTGCATCCAGAATCTAGAATAATATCGATCGTCTCTTTATTCAATTTAAGTTTAAGATATAATAGACAAAATTTATTCGTTCTCACATTATCAATTCTATTATAATAATAATATTGCTCATCTGTCAATCACGTGTATTAATTATCTCATTGGTACAATAACAACAAACAAACAAACAAACAAACAAACAAAACAAAAAACAAAAAAATCGGAATTTAACCGAAGGCAAATAATAATAAATTATTTTATAACAAATAGTGATTATGATTCGCGCAGTGACTCACAAATTTTCATTATCGTTGTCATTAAGGAAAACTAATCATGTCGTTTTGAACTTTTTAAATTAGTGCTCTAAGAATGAGTTTTTCGTGTGAAAATTTAATCATTGAAAATGTGCAATGTACTATCATTTCATCAGACTACATTATAATTAACTACATTAGCATTGAGGAAACATTAACGTTGAGGATTAAAATTTTGCATCAATATTTCAAATCCGTTTGATTAATAATAATAAATACATAATTAATTATACACAATGAAAGCTCGAATGGGTAAAAAGAAAATAACTTTCAGTTAGTAACATTCAGCTCGGTATGTATCATTAGGCTATTTTACCTAGGAAAGAAAGGGAGGGAGAGAGAGAGAGAGAGAGAGAGAGAGAGAGAGAGAGTGAGAAATGAGTTATAGAAAAAAGAAAAACGAGCAATGGGCAAACAACAACAACAACGACGACGACGACGACGATGACGACAACGACTACAACGACAACGACAATGTTGGAGATATAATGTGGAGAATTAATGTAGGAAGGATGAAAGAATTTGAAAGCCAAGAAGTTGTAATGGAACGTAGGGGGGTTAAATGAAATCGAATTAAACGAAACCCCGGGATGAGATGTTCTTGGTTAAGGGCGCTTAAGCAAGTGACGATAGTCGATCGATGCTGCAGTTAAGGTAAGAAATTATTTTTTCCCCATTATTAAATCCCATCGACAGCGAGGGAATTGATAATGCAGCTGCGGCGCATCCGTCAGCGCCACGCACCTTAACCTATCGGCAAAATTAAAAGCGAGAACGAGTAACGGCCGCTGAAAAATTAGTCGAAACTTGTCAGGCAGGGCCACACTCTTAAGAGCCGAAGGGAGGAAGGGCTCGCGCGGCCGATAGCGCGAAGGATACGTGGCCGCCGCAGGAGACGCACCTGGTGTATTGGGCGTCAAGGATGAGCGCCGGCATTCTGATGATCGCCTCGAAGGGCGAACCAAGCTTGATGTCGTCCACCGTGTAGTTGCTCGCTCCCCTCACTAGGAGCTCGCGCAGCCGCACAGTGTAACCGTTCGTGCCACCTGTCAGCGACAGCTTCAGCTCGTCCATCTGTTGGCAGAAGACAAGCTACATCGTTACCATCGCGCCCCCTTGCAAATGCGCATGCGCCCGCGCGCGTCCAACTGCCCTCCCTGATTTTCTTTGCCAGGGCCGCATCTCGCGGTGCGCTTGGATTTTTCACGCCGCCTCGCGGCCTCCGCTCTACGCTCCTTGAGAGAAAGTGCAGATGAGTGCTGAGGCGAGCGGCTGCGGGGACGCTCGAAGGGGGAGACGAGAAAGCACGGAGGAGGCCGGCCAGACCCGTGGTCCGAGCTCGCATCGGATCCTTTATTGGGCCTCGCCTCGTCCGTCCTTGCATCGTAAACGTCCATTACCAGGTAGCAAATAAATACTACGTCACGAGCCTGTGCCGACGAGTTGAAACTAGAACGCGGCTAGGGTCGACATTTGTCCAGCATCTGTAATGATTTTTTTTCTAGGAACCTGATTAGGGTCCCGTGGCTTGAGATATATTTACGGAAATTAAGGACCAACCTGCCCAGTTTTTCGGCTTTCCCCTCCCGCGCGCTTTCGAATCTCCTGCCAGCTGCGCAAAATCAAGCGGGTCAGTATCACGCTTATTTCGATGTAATTATTTACAGAAAGCGGTGGAGGGATGGGGGGGGGGAGGGAGATGCGACGAGGGGATAAAGGCATCGATGGCATTGACTTTGTTATTGGAATCTCTTTAAATACTTGGGAAAATAAGCTGCTGGTAATGGTAATGTAATCGTCACGCTCCAGTGTCCGGCGAAGATAGTTGATGAATAATAATAATTGGGAGACTCGAAGTTGTGAAAGCGCGTGGATAAATAGAGCCGTAATATTTTAGAGGAGCACGATGTCGAAAAATTTGCGTAAGCAGCGAAAGAGGAGAGAGTGGAAGATAGGAAATGGTGATTTGTCTGATTATTTGCGATCGCCTTAACCAAGTTAGCTAATGTACCAAAGAAAATTTACGAGTGGCTGTATGCGCTTTGACCTGACTCCCTCTGTTTATTGCTTTATGCTTACGTAAGGATCCGCAAATGGATGACAGGTCGATAAATACCATCGTACGGTCGGTAATTGGGTACCTGGTCGTACTTGTATGCAACATGCCTCGTTAATTTACAAAAAAAAAAAAAAAAAAAAAAAGAAACAAGCATATCAAGCGACTACAAGTGCTCTTCGATTATAATCGATCGACGTTTTAACGTTCAATTTTATATAGTAATTTTGTTAGTTTCACTCATTCCCCGTGATTTATTCTTTCCTAGCTTTACAAACTTTCAGACGCCCAATCAATTGTTTAAATAGTCATAATATTCAAAATATCAAACCACGACGGTTTCATCATCATACATATATTTGAAGCTCAGTGACATTCTGAAACGTAATGTTGACGTGGAAACACATTTCGCCGTCCGAGATTAATATGCAACTTAGCGCTCTTTAACGGTCTTATGTCGTTAAGTCGTCCAAGCCCACAGTAGCACTAAGCACAAGGGCCTATAAACCATCGAGATTATCATAGATTTTAAGTGTATGTTTGTATAGTGCAAGGTTTTATTAACGCATTAACTTACGCGCACACTCGGATGCTCGGCGACTGTCGCTCACAATAACAATTTTCTGCCGAGGCGAGTCTAAACTCACCTAATGACATCCACGAATGAATTACGAGATAAAGTATATTTTCAGAATATTTCCAAGAGATTTCACCTCAAGTCCAAGAGTATCGGCGGCTATTAGGGAAACGATTAGCGTTCTCGTCTACCTCGAAGTGCCTGTTCCCGTACACGTGGTGGACGACGAGTCGACTCGTACGTAGTGCCTCGTTATCCCGTGTATTCAGCAACAACCAAATTCGTGGATTGTTAATCGTTAATCGGTCGTGCAAAAAGCCGCGATGGTCACTCAAGGAACTTTCATCTCTGAAACAACGCGCCGTCCGCAAGATTATAATAATAAAGGATGACTTACGCGAAAAGGCTCGACTGCTGGCAGCTCGATTTCCGGGATGCCAGCCTTCAGATACGGCCGGAGATGATGCAGCGCGTCGATCAGGCAGGATTTCAGCTTGGGATCGCTTCTCGAGCATTGCTTTACGTATTGCGCTGAAACATAAGGAGCGTCGATCCTTGGGAGGCGCTTTTTTGCATTTACGAATGGGCTTTGGTCATCGATGTTTTTCAACCTCTCATATATTACGCGAAGTGAAATCATTATTTTCAATAGCCGCTTTCTTCAAGATTCTAATTGAAAATTTAATCGTAAGCTCTTTCGTTGCCTTGGTATTGCGCGTTCCCGTTGTTCACAATCGCCAATCAACGGATGATTATGCGTTATTTGCCTCTTACGAGCGGTGGTCGATGATGTACTCATTGTACTTACTTTTTCAAGTCAAATCAATGCCTTTATCGATGCAGAAGAAAAAAAAAATAATTTCGTTGATAAATGATTATTCACGATTGTGACAATCGTCATCTAATTGAGTGCCGTATAATTGCAATGAAAGCTTCTATTCGTCGTCACCTCGTGTCGTGTTACTTCATTCGTTCGTATTTTCCTCGCATTTTCGTTCGTTAATTCGCGAGAAAAAACACATTTGTAAATAACTAAGTTGACTCTAATTTTCTAAAATTAAATGTAGAATAGTTATATGATTTATCGGTTGACTTATAGCTTTCTGACTTGTATCTCCATATACTTATAACAATAAAGCGAGAAAGCATGTATTTTCTAAATGTGACTGAACTTCTGCCTATTTTTCTTCACCGTCATTTCAACATTTTAATACGCATTAATAAACTTAACGGCAACTTTTCATTTATTTCAAGATCATGTAAACACTGCAGATTATTCGTAAATTACGAGCCTTTCCAAGTTAATGTATTTTAATGGAATTTCTTTTTGAGATATCATATGTGACTATTGTGGTTTATTTTGACGGAACAAAGGAAACGTCGACCGACATTCATAAGTTGTTTATACGGCTATTAAATTTTACGAATTGCGGTGAATTGCAGTGAATTGCGGAACAGACATGGCATTGGTATACACAATGAAAAAAAAAAAAAAAATGAAATCGGAAAAGTGATTTTAAAAGAATGTAATTGTTGAAATAACTCACGTTGTCTTAGAACGCCCCCCCCCCCGTCTCTGTAAAAACGTTTCAACCCAACGCTATTTATCCTAGAAATGTAATTTTGTTTTTTGAACCGTCTAACGGTATAATAAAAACTGTCCTCATACTACCAAATTAGTTTTCACCGTACATCGTCGATCGGTTTCACTGGAATCCCAATCAAAAGAAAGTAGAAGAAAAGAAAAAAAAAATCCAAAAGGAATAACGAAGCAATGGGGGGAACGAACGGCCCAAGGAAACGAGAGTGCGTGGCAATTAGGTATTTGGTCGGCTATTCCGGGCGTCGCTGATCTATTAAATTCGATAACGGAAACCAGGCCCGACGTCACTCTCGCTTCGGTGTCTCCCCAGGTCCCGAGCGATGCTTATCTCGCGCCTCTCCTCCTACAGCCAGTGCGCGGATGCCCGATCCCCCGAAAAGCGAGTGGGTCTCGTTGCTTGGGGCTAGGGAGACGACTCGGCCCCTCGGGGCCTACTCACGGGTCGGTCCCTCGCCGATGTCGGCCCGGACGAGGGCAAGGAGCGCCAGCAGGAGCGCGAGAGCTGCGTCGAAGAGCATTGCGAGCGAGGAGTCGTGCCGTCGGAGCTGGACTGAAGCGCAAGTGCAGCGGGCCCCGTTGGCCAATGGACTTTCACCGTGGTTGCAGTCTCGCGATACCGAGCTCGACGAACTCGAGGAAGGGAGTCAAGGGACCACCACTACCACTACCACCACCACCACCACCACCACCACCACGATAACGACCACGACCAGCCTCCTCGCTTTTCCGCGAGAAGGTCCCCACCGTGCGTCGCCTGGGCCCGAGGATAATTACACGATCGCTCCGCGACCGCTTTTCCTTTCTCTGGACCCGATAGATTTATTGGAGGATAGCCGTCTTGCCGTGAGGCGTGGTACTAGGTTGCCCGTCTGACGGTTATTCTTTGTGTCTGGCAGCTTCACACGTTCTCTCTCTCTCTCTCTCTCTCTCTCTCTCGTTATCTCTCTATCTTTTCGTCGCAGCTCTCTTTGAGTCGCGCGCGTTGCGCTCGAAGAAACTCGATCCATTTTATCGAAATTAAATACTCGTCGGACCCTGAGCTTGACTTTCAATTGACCAGCTCCGTTTTGTTGATAATTCTAAATTGTCCAATTGTTCTATAACCTCTTGGCATTCTAGTGAGGCGATGAGGAGGTGTTTGTATACTTGTCGTATTATTTTCAAATCAATTTCGTCGTTTACGAATAATTTACTATTTAAAATCTCATATTGATGGATTTTTATTTGAACTTGTGAGGAATATAAATGCCAATATTTTTAAGCGATCGTATGGTTCCTAAAGGACGTTTTTATGCTGGAAGCATTTGAAACTTGATATCGGACAGGTTGACTGCGACGATAAACGATAATTTTTCTTCCTGAAGTTTCATCTTTTATTTGCATTTAATATGATATCAAAGACTTATTAGCTTCGTTCATTGAGTGATATTCATATAATTTCATAAGTATATTTACGTTGGGAAAGCCTTGTAACGATGGAAATATGTATGCTGATGACATTGCATAAACATCTAGTAAAGTCTGACGAAATATAATACGCTAGATTTATAGAGAGAAAAAAAAGAAAAAAAGAAAAAAACCTCTTTTACACACACACACACGCGCGCGCGCGCGCGAATGCGTGTTTTTATATTTGCAATAATGTCTATACGGGTGCGCATGTATTTATGTGGAATATTAACGCACCTTTCTCCGCAATGGCTTAGACGATTGTGATTCAACGAGTATCTTTGTTCTCATTTGCATTGCTCGGTGAAAAAAGAATTATTTTTTTTTTTTTTTTGTATTCCTTCGTACTATCTAAGAATATAAAAAAAGTTGTTATTTGTCTTTCTTTTCATGTTTTTGACCTTCGAGCAATGACTATGCAGAGGAAGGCGATGTTTTAAATATATATTTTATACAATTTACCGACATTTAAGATGTATAATACTGGCATAGTAAAGGTATTATTATTATCCTGAATAAGGTAGGCAAGAAATTATTGTCGAACATTTATAATTAGAACGTAAAAGATAATTCGTACAAATATATAAAAAAATCCTTCACTTTCTCGTAGAATTTTTTTTTTTTTAAACATTTAATACCCAATTTCTTGTGTAGCGCATTTACTTTATGAGCTAAACGTTTATTTACGCGTTAAAAATTCCTTTTATTCGTTTTCACTCAAGTCGAAACTTATTAACGATAATTAAGTGCTTCTTAGCTCGATGAATTGATGCATTAAGAAATATAATGCCAATGGATGGTAAAAATTTTCAAATTATTACCACTAGAGAAACTAGTCAATGAATTGGTAGGACATCTTTTTAATATTACTGTATGAAATTGAAGTTAAAATGAATTCGAAATATTTTGAATCCACTCGATGCATATATCAAAGCGTAAAAGAAGTGCAAGTTACTATTTAGTATAATTTTTTATGTTTATCCAATGGCATTTTGTTGTGATTGGTCAATAAATGCAATCATCAATTTTAATTCTTAACAATTTCAAAGACACATCGTAATTGATTAATGTCTAATTATAAAATTACGTTATATATATATATATATATATATATATATATATATATATAACGTAATTTTATAATTAGACATTAATCAATTACGATGTGTCTTTGACTGACAACTGATTATTTGAGGAAAAATATTGTTTACTAAGAAAACTTGTAGAAATGATTTCAGGATGGGTCACAGACCTCGAATTCATCCTACCGTATCAATTTCATATATTTATATTTCTTTTACATTGAATTAATTCAAGCAGCAATAGTCGCTGATAGATTTATTTATATTTACTATAAATACCGGAACTCTCCGTCTACTAAAATATGAATAAACTTTCATTGATTCTTATAAACCGAGGAGACATATTTAAGACAAGTTTTAATTTTTCCGTGATCGAATAAATATTTTTTCATTTAATATCATAACATTTCAATCGTAGCCACTGAGTAATAATTAATATTTTTATTTGTTTAATATAAATTTTTTCATTTTTACTATTATTAATAATATATTTTAATGATAATAATGTAACTGTTTCTTTACCAACAATAATATTATCTTCTTAAAGTACTTTAGGTTAAAAAAAATCATTTCGAATGCTGATGTCTAGATAGTCCTATCACATAATGTATGTGATTAAAAATTGTGTTTTTGTAATTATGCCTTTGTTTGTGTAGTGAGATGGTTTTCTGTATATGTCGAAAGCGCGTTCGACATACAGAAATTCACTTTCGTGCAATAAATCTGACGGTAATTTCAATCTTCCAGAGGTAATTTACATTTTAAATAACAGAATATTTCTTAAATACTCAAAGCCGTAGCTTAAGTTTTATTACTTGAAAACGTTGTTTCATAATATATACGAAAATAGATTCATTTTTTTAACTGCGTTTCAAAGATATTTGTTGTTATTGTTTCAAAGAACATGAATTTCTAATAATTTTCTCAATTTTATAAGCGTTGCTGCATTGTGTCGAATGTTTAAAGCTCATGATTATCATATATTTCTTCTGTACCCATAGTACATAAATATAATAATTATTATAATATATAGATTATTACATCAAATCAATTAATATAATATAATTTTATATAGTGACTTATTTACAATTTACAAAGGTAATTCAAATTGTCTGTAAATAGATCAATAAATAATAAATGACAATTAAGAAATAAATTGATTATAAATAATTAATTATAAATAATATTCTTATATAATATTACGATTTTGGCAATTACATCTCATCTAATATTCTGCTATTGTGAATATGTTGTAAAAAGAGTTTTAATTTATTTAACTTTGAAATGAAAAAAGGTGTAAGTTTACATAAAAGTCAGATATGAAATATTCCGTATTAAATATTTACTGGAGTTTGCATACTATTTTCATTATTTTATAGTTTTTTATTGATTTATTTATCAGCAATATCATCATAAAACTAAATCTAAACAATAATTTATTATAATCAATATTCAATTAAAATAATAACGGACTTAAATATAATTCCATAAGTATTATTAAATTATATGTGTTAGAAATATTTAATAAAATTAATGCTTATATAACTTTTTTAAGCTATAATAGTTTATTACACTTCAAGGTAGTAGAGGAGAATTAGCTTTAATAAATCATATAATTCAAAAGGACATGCAAGTATTTTTATTAACAAGTTATAGCTTAAACAATTATTAAAGCTTTGTACGAGGATACGTTAATGTTTCACGGTGACCAAGTCAATTTGGTTTTTAATTTTGAATAAATCTTTTTTTTTTTTTCACTAATTTTTTGTAAGTAAAATGTTTCTAAAATAAATATATTTATAAAACTACGTAAATTCACATTGTTATAATTAAACAAAAATTATTTTTATTTCAATATTATAAAACATATAATTATTAACTTCAAAATTGTATATTTGTATTTGTATTCTTTCATTTTAAAATAAATTTTATAAATTGAGATGTATCATGAATTAACTTACCTTAATATATTTTTCTAATTTCATGAAATCATAAAATAATCGTAATTTCATATAATAGTGCATATTGTTTCGTAACATAAAATAATTTATAATTATATGAACTACTGCTGAGATGAAAATAAAAAAGTTATAAATATATTTTACATTTCACATAATTTCCGTATTTATTCATATAAGATGTACAAATGTCTCATTAAAACAAGATCTATAAATTTGTCATTAAAATGCTATTATTTATTATAATAATGATTTTTATCTTCTTTGTATTCCGTTATATATTTTTTACAGATATATATATTACTTTCAATTACATTAAATTATTATATGCCTTGTGAAAAATAACTTATTATATAAAGAATAATCCATTGAATTTTATCCTTCATGTATGATTGTTTAAAAATCAATTGAATAAAAGGCATTAAACAATTTTCTAAAATAAATTATTTTCCAACAAAATATTAGGAGGTAAAGGAGCTATATTTAATTTTTTTTTTGTTTTTTTTTTGTTTTTTTGTTTGTGATTTTAAAAATGAAAAAGCTTTAAGGATAAAAATTAATAAAAACAATAGTTTTCTACGGAGATGTAGTGACGAAATACAAACCATATTTGTTTAGCGTATTTCCCAATAATTGAAGGTGTGCATCTACAATTTAAACTTACTATTTAAGAATTTTGTTTTATGTATCTGCTATTTGCGCTGATGAATTTGCGCTAATGAAGAATACGTATTTCCAGTTTCTAAACTATTGTTAGTTAAATATTTGTAATGGGAATGAAATCGTAGATCAACAATCAATCGTTATATTAAAAAAAAAAAAAAAAAAAAAATGAAAATAAGCGTGCGATTGACAAAAGTCTAATATTATTGAAAAAATAATGCTGTTTATTATAAATTTGACGATAATAATAATAATAATAATAATAATAATAATAAAAAAAAAGATTACATAGCTAAAAGATAATCGAATAAAATACGAGCAAGAATTTTAAATTTCCGTAGGAATTCATAATATTTTTATAAGTAGAGATGTGTTGACAGGTTATGGAATAATTATATACACTTCATAGTGATTAAAAAATCAAATGTTAATTGTTCAGGCTTTTAATTTTAATAAAATGTTTACTTTAAAGATTACGATATTACATAGTATACATGCATGTTATATACAAATGTAAATAACAGGTGAAAGAAAAAAAAATATATATATGTAAACGATAGGTCTATGTTTATGTATAAAAATATGCCGTTGAAGCATAGTAAAAAAAAATTTAAGTCCTGCATATTCATCTGCCCTTTATTAGCTGCTAAGTCAGTAATGATCATACGTAATTATTCGAATAGAAGATTATTTAAGCTTTTACTTTGGCACTGTGTGTAATGTAGATCAGTACAAATGGTATGTACGGCTAATCGTACAAAATCTCTTAAATTTACCGACTAACATCCGCAACAGAAATATGTATTGTATATATATATTATTTAATTCATTGTTACTTGTTTAAAAAAAAAGAAAAAGAAAATATATACAGAATTTGATGGTACATTGTGTTACTGTAATCTACACACAAAAATGTTATTGTTTACATTCTTTCTTTCTTATGATGTGCGCTTATTAAAAATTACAATTTCATTACTTCATAATTATACCAGTGCTATTAACCAGAAATTTTGCAGCATTTATATTCTATGTGACATATTAATGTTGTGATAAAAGATTAATATAGTAAAATAATAAATTCGTGAGATCTATAATTTTATTTGATTATAATTTTCAATTAATCCAGTGTTTAATAGAGCAATATTATCAGTTTTACAATAGTTGATTAAACTTTCGTTTAATCGTGGTTGTTATTAACGAGGTTGACGAAAGTTATCCAAATAAATAATATCCAATAGACGTAATATTAATTATGAGATTAAAATAAAGCATAATATTATTCATTTTGTAAATACAAGTCCTAGTACATTAATATTTCTACAAAATATTATAATTTTACCTAAAAATAAGGAAATTTACTTCTTATGAATGATTGATTTTCTTAATTTATTTATTTTTGATTCATTGTATCTGGTGCAATTAAATCTACGAACGGTAATATCTCCGTCGGTATGGTAGAACAATAACTTCCGTATTTTTCTTTTTACATTCGATTTATAAAATGTTTGATATGTTTCATAATATTGCACATTTATTAATAGCAAATTTTTCATTATTGAAGCACTGTGGTTTATCATGATTTTTATTTGTTCAGTTGATGTGAAAACTGATTGAAAGGGAGGGAGAAGTAGAAAAAGCCGATGAACAATATCGTTACGATAGATTTTAATAAAAGTTTTAGATCAATATTGTACAGTTTGAAATATAATAATTAAATGATTGTAATAAGATGACAGATCAATAATAATGTTTAATATTTTTAATTAGTCAGTTAAGTCATAAGTTGGAATTTTTATTACAGGAACGATAATGCCAATTGTATACGTAAAAATTGAAATTTTGGAAAAACGCAACACTTGAAGTACATTGACTCGAAAACTTGAAATAACCTTTTAGAAATAATGAAAATTATGTTTCTAAAGCTATTCTAATAGTATTTAATATTTATACTCTTATCTACACTCGTAATAACTTGTATTAAACCATTGTATAGAAGAAAACTGTCGTAGTTTTTTTATTATTTTTTTTTTTAAATAGTCATCCAATTAAAAGCTCAATAATATAAAAAGACGAGGTTTTTCAATTTTCTACCCAATTAGTTTTAACCGAACTTTCGCAAATTTCCGAGAGCTGAAGTGTACAATTTTTGTATATACACATTTAAATATTTAAGCTTTATTGTCGAGCGTCCGCACTTTCTCCGCACTTTCTACTCCAACTACAAATATTATAAATATAAATACTATAAATTGCCCCAGCCGCTAATCGTAACACCTTTTGCAACAACTAGTAGCCTTCTGCATCCCTGCCGCAGCCTCCCCCCCCCCCCCCCCCCCCCCCCCCCCCCCCCCCCCCCCCCCCCCCCCCCCCCCCCCCCCCCCCCCCCCTACTGCCTGTACCAATAATCGGCGGCGAAATTCGTTCGCTGGCAATAATCTGCAATCCTCCGCGCGCCGGAGGTCAACTGGAGTCAACCGAAATCCCTCTGGCTCTCTCTTTCTCCCATAAGCCAGTGGCAAAAGTGAAAAGCCTCTTACGCCGCGTATGCTCGAGTCCGTTAGTGGCCGGTGCATTACACCCAGGCGAAGCCGAAATTCATGGCGAAACTGGTCCGTCCCGGGCGCTTAAGAAGTCCGAGGCCCAAGAGCGCCAGAGTCCACAGAATCTCTTGACGTCGAACCACGAGGTCTTATTGCACAAGCATCGCAAAGGATCGCGAGGACCGATGTGTCGTTTGGAGTGAAAGCGCGCGTGCGGAAGGCCCGGAACGCGAGCGTCGAAGTGGTGAGAGGGCCAGTGGTGCTCGGGCTCGACTGCGCTCCACTCGCTCCCTGTGTGTGCAAGAGAGAAAAGATACGACGATGAGCTTCTCGAGGATGCTGCCGCTGCTGCTCCTCTTCCTCTTTCTCCTCTTCGCGCGTGCTCGTGCTGATATCGGCAAGTATTCCCAGGCGATGGCTTAAGGATTAATGTTCGATGATTAATTGAATGGTGATGGGGCGCAGCGGTGAGTTGTCAGCGAGATCGTTCATAGCTGATAAACGTTAGGAAATTGTTAATATTTTGTTGTTAATTTCCGGGAAGTGCACCATAGCGCGTAAAGTAGGCACCAGCTGCATAGATCGATATATTAATGATCTAATTATATCCGAGTGTGTCTTAATTACTAATGTTATTATGAAGAATATTTATAAATAAATATTGTTACAAGCTTAAATAGTATTATAATTTCGTAATTTTATCTATTTCAAAGCTAAAGTATATATATATATATATATATATATATATATATATATATATATATATATACATATGTAAAATCGAGAATTATTAGTGCTTTTAAGTTGTAACATTTACATTATTAGAAATAATGCATTGAATTGATTTCTTTCTGTAACAGTAGAAATTCATGATGCAATTCAGTGCAGTTACTTATGAGCTTATACATGTATATATGTATGCATGCATTCTATAATGTTACGTAAAAATTTTTTTATTATAATAAAGCTTATAATCTGATTATATGTAGCAAAGTTGTAAAAAAGTTTTCCACTTTGTGTAAACAATTGCATAAATAGTTTAGTTTACACTATTTATTATTATTATATTACGTACGGGTCATAGTTATGCAATTTATTTGGGTCGGCGTAGTTCTCGAAAGCCGACAAGGAGTTCACTGAAAATGAAGAGGACCATTGAAATTACTGATAATTGCAAAATTTTGCTATAATAATATTTGCACAAAATTGTTTGCAAACACCAAAAACGACTACTTTCTATAGTCATTCGATTTATCTTTAATGCTTAGCGTAGTATACGTCTTATAAAGTTATTTAGAAAATACTGGTTTTACGTGCGGAGTGAATGCCGCGTTCCAGGACCCGTTGTCCTTCGACAGCGTTAAATTTACAATTGCAATATAAACATATTAAATTAAGGCGAAATCCGGTGATTCGTTGCGTCATTTGAGTCACAGCTACCGGCTTCGATGCAAGAAGTATGGACCTTTCGAAAGAAAGTCTGGATAACTATATTTCCAAACATTCGCATCACTTGATTTTTATTTTATAATTTATATTCCTGGCCATCGTCAGATTTCTTTATCTGTCGAAAATGAGAGAGCAGTTCACTTTCACCTAAAATCTTATTAAAAAATCGTCAGTCTAAACATAAGCTAAAACGCGTATTCGCAGATCAATAAATTTTCGAATAATCAAAGATACGCGTCGGGGGATTTAATGATATAATGACGAACGAAGAAAGTTCAGTGGCATTCAATTAATGGCGTATTTCAATTGTCATTTTCTTTTCCTTTATTACGATTCATTTCTTTTCTCAGGGAAAGTGATTTATTGTATAATGACCATTTTGAAATTGCATATACAAATATACGTAATGTCATTTATACGGTGTATGATTTTAATGATAAAATAAGTACGTTAATCTAATAATGTGCAAATAAAACTTATCGTAATTATTTTTGAAAATAAAACTGAATAATATAAAGTAAGCCGTATCTTTATGATTCGAGCAAAAGCAGTTTTGCGAGTGTAAAAAAGAGATTAGAATATATATGTTTTTACGTTATTTCGCCTTTTCTTCTGTACATTAATTCGATAAAGGAATATAATTTGACTTGAGAATAATAATTTGGCTTTCGATGTTAATACTAACCTAATCGACATATAAAAAAAATTTCCGTATACACTTAACATTATAAATCTTTTATCTTATTGGGATCGATTTTTTTCATTTTACGAAAGATACTGCTTATCGAACTTTAATTAATTCAAATATTTCATCATTTCTATTATTATACAGTTACAATATGTCTATATTACTAATAAATGTCAATATGTCTAATATGTAATAATTATTAAGAAAATTAATTTATGGCTACAAATTTATTTGCTCATTAAATAAAAATTAATACTTTAATTTCATCCCGTTTGATTTTATTACATCTATGTATGAGTAGTTTTTTGATGTGCAAAATGTATATAAAATTTGAAATTTAGTAAATGAAAAATTCAATAACAATACACGTTCATTATCATTTATTCATTATCAATTCATTTATTTATAGCAAGTCAAATTTCTAATAGCAATTCTACTTAATTGATAATTTATTATTACAATTAATTGTCAATAACATTTTATTTAACGGGCTTATCGAACGAGAAACTGTATTTTTATTAAATTAATTTAACATTTATTACAGAAAAATTGAGAAAAATTGACTGCAAGGGTACATTACATATAATTACCATTAAAAATAAGTGACAAAAACTATTTAATAGTCTAGGTGAAGAATATTTTTTTGTATTAACTAAACAAACGATGGAATATAAAATGAAATCTGTGGAGTGGCACGGAACAATTTTGAAATACTACATTGACACATATATATATATATATATATATATATATATCTATTAGTGAAACTTTTATTGGAGATGTAATTGCTCTCGGTTGTTAGAGTACAGAAATAAGGCCTCGGCACTCCAAACTCCATATATAAAAGTTTTTCTTTTTCAGACGTCGACTGCGCACTTAATTGTATTTGCACTCATAGTCATATATGTACACATTATTTCATCAAACGCTATGGAGATGCAATTCGTGGGTGAAAGTAATCGTGTAAGATTTGGAAACTTGCAATCGTACAGTATAATTGTGCATATCGTCAAATCGTACGTGACAATTGGAAGAGTAAATTTAATTTTTTTATTTATTTTAAAGTGACTTTATTACTCTTATGTAATCAAACATAGTATAAAATTAACTTAGAAAATGAAATTACAATAATAACCAATATTATTTGATTTCTAAAGCTTAAAAATATATCTGCTTTTTATCGAAGATAAAATATCTTTAACTATCACTTAATATTTACATTGTTTTTATGCATTCTAATATTCTTGACAAATATAATGGAAATATTTCATCTTAATAATTATAATCGACTTTATGTTTTTTTAGCTGTTTAGCCATCGTAAATATAAAATATTTTAATCGCTAAATTATACTGATTGGCATTTTAATGTCTGACTTAACGTAGGAGTATTTGTGTGAGTCGGTTGCTCAAAATTGTAGTTTAGAGAACCAGAGATTGAAATTTATATATACTTTTTAAATGTCCATAATAAATTAAAATTACTTGGACTCTGTATAATCAAAGCAATGCGATTGCAAGGTATTCTCGTGGACAAATATTGACTTAACAAAAACAATGTTAAAGTTAAAAATATGTTTATGAATTTTTTTTAACTTTTTATATAGAATTAAATTCACGGTAAGTTTTAATAAAAAGAAAGTTTCTCTTTTCGAGAAAATTTAATTCTACATTAAGATATAATCTATCGAATCAAAAATGTTTGTTCATTGTAAGAAAATTACTTACGTTATAAGATATTTAATTAGAAATATTATCAATAATTTAATAAATCTATACGGAAGGCATTATATATACTCAGTAAAAAATAATGATAAAAAATAATAATAAAAACATATAGACGCACGAACATTCTAATCAATAGTTATTTGATAAGTTATTTTTAAAAATCTGTTTTGTCACATATGTTAGAGAATTGTATTTACATAAAAATTTAAATTTAAAATAATTTATTATTGTGCTATTAGTTACATTTTAATACACCGATAATTAAGAATATTAATATTTAAATGTTATAAGCTTAAATGATATTGGAAGAAAGTTTTTAAATAGTGTAAAGTAATACAATTCTATACACGTTTCAATTATATACACGTTAATCTATGTAATTAATGTTCCAGTACATTTATTATTATTCTTTATTTTTTTTTTCATATATTTTTTTGTTTGTTATTAGTTTTAGTTTGTAATAAAAGTCTGTTTATTATAACAAATTCAATACAAACTATTCGAGTGCAATGTTATAAAGTATTTTTTTATAGAATACAGAAAAGTAAAAAGAAAAACGATGAGTAGCTGTCTACTAAAATATTATTGCACTAATTTTATCTTAAAGAATCAATTAAAAATAACTTTTAAGTTTCATATGCGAGATAGAAATAAAAAAATCTGTTTTTTTCCATACTTTTCTTACAATTTTCCATGCTTTGGTATGAATTTGTCTTTTATTAAAAAAATATTTGAATTATATTTCCTATCTAAAATTTCCATATAATTTTATTTACATTTACATGCTAATTGCTACGTATAGCAAGAAACATTATATTTATAGAGATTTTTGCTTTTTACGACAGAGTTTCATAACTTCATTTATGTTCACTGATTTTAATATTGAAAGCATAATAAATCTTAGAGTGATCATAATTAATATTACAAATATTATTAACAGTTTTAAACGAGTAAATATGATGTTCATTAAATTAATATTTGACGAATGAGTATTTTTTGACCTAATATACATAAAATTTTTTAATAATTTGTATATTTACTACCGCTATTCCATAATCTATTATAAAAATATGCGATATAATATATATATATATATATATATATATATATATATATAGAGAGAGAGAGAGATAGAGTAAGGGATAGCCATACTGATACTTTCTTTATTGTTATCTATTATCATGTTTTAACGATTTTTAACATAACAAATCATTTAATTTATTTCTTATTAGAATAGAATCATCTATTCGTCATTAGTAATTTTTTCAAATAAATGAATGTATAATAAATATTTCGCGCGCGCGCGCACACACACACACATATATATATATAAATACAATTTTATTTTTTTGGAACGATATTTATATTGTCAGAGATTTAATAGTGTCGTTGAATAAAATACGACATCATTCAAACGACATGTTACTAATGTAAATATGAATAAATATATTTTAAAGACTATTAAGTTGAAAGAAGAATAGATGTTTGCCCTTAGTGTTGTTCATATTTATACGATACTTGCTCAACATATATTTACGTTCAAAGGAATTTTATGACGTTATCGAGAGGAGTTTGTAAGTCAGTTTGAGTTGTCCGAACATGTCCTTGCGCATTATACTACGTCGTACTGTATAAGTTAAAAAACTTAATTATCTAACAATATATCGCCTTGACGATATTTTGCTTTTTCACGCTCATTTTCCATTAATATCGCCTTATGGTACGGTAAGAAGATAGACGAATAATTACGCAATGCATGGCATGTGTGCTGCGGATAATAACGGCACCGAATTCGTATACATCATTAATCGTTGGTGCACTTCAACAACTTTTCATTTTTTTCTCTTTTCCTGCTCCAGTTGACACTGGCAGACAACGTGTCTTACCTACTTTCTCTCGCCTCTCTAGTTGAAATGCCGCTAAGCGTATGATAATTGAACGATCGATAGGAAGATTGGAGACTCGCTACTCTAAAAATCACACGCTCGAAATGAAACGAGCGAAATAATAAATTCGCGACAGGCCCTCTCACTCGCTTCTTACTATTGCAGAAGACCACTTCAAGAACTGCCGCGTCGAAGCTGCGGGTTTCGACGGCTGCGTTCGCGAGGCGCTCAATGCAATCCGTCCCTACTTCAAAACAGGCCTGCCCAAGTACAATGTCGCACCGTTCGACCCGTTTTTCGCTAACGAGATAAGCGCCCGTCGCGGACTGCCGAAACTCGGCTTCACAATCACCTTGAGGAACGTGACGGAGAGCGGATGGTCCGCGAGCAAAGTTACCAAGTTCGTCAGCGACTTGAAGAACTACAAGGTTGCCACAGCCGCTTGTTACAACCCGATTAACATATATTGACATTATTAAACATCCGTCTTCCTCCCCGACCTTATCCCACTCATAATGTTTGGTTTGCGTCTCGCAGTCGTCGACTTTACTCGGTATAATGTGACGTTTGCTTGCAGGTGGTGTACACCCAGAGCTTCCCAGAAAAATACCTGTCCGGTGACTATGAATTTAATGGCGCTGTCTTAGGGACCAATGTCAACAACAAAGGAAAATTTACGTTGAGCTTGTGTAAGTGAGTTTGGTTTGCGTATTGCTGGCGGGATAATTTTTATCGTTCGATCGAAGCCGGCTATTTGATTTAGAAGATTTTCATTTTGCCTCACGTAGGTACGAAATCCGCGTTTGTCGTTGTAAATTGCGCAATGTAAATTCGCATTTAATTCAAGATGAATCACGGGTATTGCACATTATAAGCGACAAGACAAATATTTGATAAAATAATAATTCCTGTATAGATATTTGACCGGGAAATAAATACTTACTTGTTTTTCTAATATATATATATATATATATATATATATATATATATATATATATATATATATATATATATTCTCTTTGAGCCGATTCGAGCGTTTGTTTACAGTGTCACTCGTACCATTACTTAGCTCTGTAATTTCCTTGCAATTACGGCTGATCCACTTGGCCGATAAAAACAAACTTCTATAATAAACAATGTTATTGAACCTTACGCTTATAAATATTTATAATCTCATAAGATCATATTTATATCATATTGATTATCGTCATATTCGTAAATCTTGGAGAAGAATACACGCAAGGCTTCCTATTTTCATTCGAATCGCACGCCAAGCCTCGTTTACTTATGCAAAAAGCTAACGTTAACATTTGCACGAGCATATCTCTGCTCTATAATTTATAAACGTTTCCAAGATAAGAGTGTGCCCATGTTTCAAAAAAAGTTACATACGACAATAATATCTACGTAGAATAATAATGACAATAACGACGAGTACTATCATTATTATTATTATCTTCACCGTCATAATAATAATAATAATTATTATTATTATTGTTATGATTATAATCCTAATCATCATAATCATCATCATCATCATCATCATCATCATCATCATCAGCAGCAGCAGCAGCAGCAGCAACATTATCATGAACCGCAATAATGTCTGAAAGCTACGTTACATGAATTTTTCAGTTGATCTCATGCAAACGACTACGATAACGAGGGAGCCCGGGATGAAGATAAAAGTGCGAGTCGAAGTCGAAACGATTCGCGATCTCAAGCTGCACATATCGAATCTCCTGCATGGTCGTGAAGTCCTCGAGGGTATTCTCGATCGGATTATAAATGGCGCCTGGCAGCCGGGATTCACGTTCACGAAGCCCCTTATCAACGAACTCGTATCCACGGCATTCACGGAAATCTTCGATAAGGCCTTCCGAAACTTCCCCTTCGAGAAAATCATCAGGACCAAGCAAAACAATACTCTGTAGGAAGATCATTGCGTACGAGAGATCTTCTCTATTGCCCTTCGTGCCACCGTAACGACGATCTTTTCCTTATGGTTGAAGCCCATGAATTGTCACGCGTTTCATGCGTTATCGTCTTTCTTTTCCTTTCTATTTTTATTCGTGCGAATTGGCATTGATGAGCCGTCGTTGTGCGCTGTTTACAAATTATTTACCGTTAAAATTCTATTGCCAACGTTATTGTGGCTTCGAAAGAAGAAAAAAACGTAATGTTGGATTCTCACGAGTTGAGATTGTTTTAAGAAATTTTACATTTCGTTTTCAAATGTTGTACTTATCATTCCGCTTATTCGTGATACTTTTACGAAAATTTATTTCACAAGTAATGTTTTTTCTATTATTTTTGTTTTGTTTTTAATTCTAACGCAAATTAACACTCGTTCTCCTAACATTAATACGCGCTCGACACATCCGAATATACAAACGCGATCTCTATTTCGCTCTATTACAATAGCTACATTTTAATTATATTTGGTTATTTGTATATATTGTATTTATAATAAAGTAATATATTAATTTCTTCTTTCTATATATATATATATATATATATATATATATATATATATATATATATATATATATAATCTATATATAGAATATATAATTGCTCCGATGATTTAGTGTAATTTATGCTCCAAGGAATTTGACCTTGGGCGAGGAAAAAGAAAACCTTATGAATAATGACTCTGGTCAGTGTAATCTATACTTAGACAGAATGATTAACGGTTGCCATAGTCTATACTAATTACATTTCATTTTTTTTCTAATTTACAGTTACAAAGATAAAATGTTCATCCTTCACTCTGGTTTTCAAAGTTACTTTGCATTTATCCTGAATATATTATGCCAATAATCTTAGAAAACATTACGAAATGAAAAATCCGACATTTCACATGTCGTAATTTTAAAAGAAAACTCGTTCACATTCTATCAATCGTAGAATAATAATTATCGCGGTATTATTTTTAGAAAATTTTGGCCAACCTTTAATGAGTAGACAAATTTTTTTACATCTCACGATGCTCTGCATACCCGCTGTAAATTTCCGTATAAAATGACTAAATTTTTAACAGACTGCCTCAATAAATAATTAAAATATGAGATGAATTTCTAGTCTCCTTCCCCCTAACCTCTCCCCCTCCCACTATCATCAATGTCCGTAGGAATAAAGTAAGTTTCAAGTCACGATGGACATGAGGCCATCCATCATTCCACACTCAAATTGATCCGACAACTAGATTCTCTACATGCATGTGGCTATGTGGACGAACAAATAAATAAATCAATAATAATTAGAAAAAATTGCGTCGACGACGACGACGAGGACGATGACGCTCGCACACTGGGCTACGCCGAGCCACCTGATAATATTAATTTGCCATCGCTCGGAGCCCATCGGAAGTATTCTCTCATTGGTCTAATCGAAGCCACGAAATCGAGATCGCCGTTAGTTTTTCCAGTTTGCCTCGGACTTTGCTCGCAACTACGCCAATAAACACACGTAGGAGGGCTTACACACCACGCGTCCTTAGGTCCCTGACTCTCCCGATTTCGAGGAAATTTCTTATAAAGTCGCGTCCGCGCTTTCTTTTCGCCCATCTTACAATCGCGAAATAATTTCGCGCTCTCTCCCTCCCTCCGACATTCTTTCATCAATTGTCTTCACGAAACGACTGACGTTCGCGAGGCGAGCAAAATACGCCATTCAAATGATGGGCGACGAGAGATTTTCAAGTTGGGTCGTTGAGATGAGATGAGACGTGTGGTGTGGTGTGGTGTGGTGCGGCGGAGTGGGGAGGGGATGGGAGGGGAGCGGATGGGTGGGGAGGGGATTTATGGGGGGGAGGGGACTCGTGACTTGCGGCTTTTTTCTGGTTTTTCTCGGGCCTCTCGGTACCGCGCAGGTGGTAATGAACGGGCCGAAGAAAGAAACCGTCCATCTCTCGGGTCGAGAGCTGCTCGCCTTGAAGAAACCCTCGGGACTTTGACCTCGCCGCATATCTCGTCCGCGTCCGAGGGAGACCGAAGACGGCGATACGCGTTACGCGAGGATATTTGTTGTCGCTCGCCAATCAACCCTGCAATGACTTTGTCCGGCGCGCAAATTCGCCGATTTCTAAGAACTTGTTATTGTTCCAAAGCCCGAGGCTCACGTGAGTTACGGTGATGATCGAGTCTACGTGGAATGCGACGGAATTCCTTCGGCCTTCCTCCTTCTCTGCGTCTTGTCATTTTATTGGGCAGAGCACGTTTATGAACTCGATTCCTGGCTCGCTTAAGGTCACGGCCCCATCCCGCCAAACCCAATTCCCCACCTCCACCCGCCCCGCCGCCACCGCCTTCGCTCCGTAAACACTCGCGCACGCACGCACGCACGCGCGCACACAACAAACAAAACAAACAAACTCCCACCCTCGTTTCATCATCGTATGAACTTTAACGTGGCAAATCCTTCTATTATTCGGATTCTCTTATCGTCCAGCAACGGATCGGCCAATTTAAGAGAATAACTCTTGTCAACATCAACATTACCTTGCATACAAAAAATCGCTCTTCCTGCACGTTCGCGTCTTTAAGCCTTTAGTCATTGTTATTTGGCGATATGAAAGCACGCGAAAAAGGAGCATTTCGTGTACGACACCGTCAATTGCAATTTGCAAAAATGTTTTCGTACAATATCAACTATCGCGTTATGCAACGATACGCGGCAGATCGTCGCACAACATTAAACTCGCCTTACACGCCTTCCATCCATAATAGCCGAGGATTAAACTTTAGAGACATGCCTCTCGCTTCACCTCCTCGTTCACCTCACCTTTTTACAGCTCCATTTGTTTGTACGCTCGCGGCAACTCCCTTTATTCATTTATCGCTCCTTGCGTCATCAAGCGCACGCACGATTACCGAGCAGCATTCAGTGCTCTTTACAGTCCACCGAGCCTCATTCACTACGCCAAAACTACCGCGTCACTCCTCCCCTCGCTCATTAAAAAAATCCTCAGTCGCGGTGCGCTTTAACGGCTATTAACGGTTCTCCAATTTACGAACTAAGTCAGGTACGTCGGAAACTGTCGGACGACGTAGGCGCTGTTACTCGAGATCCGAGGAGGCATGTGTGACTGGACGGGACAGGAGGAGGAGGAGGAGGAGGAGGAGGAGGAGGAGGAGGAGGAGGAGGAGGCAGTGGCTCGATTCACATGTAAGCGAGGCGGCGGTTTAGCGCGGTTTCGCGGAAAAATCAGGGCGCGATTCGGGCGCCACCCCCGGGTCTCACAGACGTCGCGGACGCCTCGGGCAAACCTCGCTTGCGATGAAAGTCCCGGCGGCGAGCTACGAGCCCCACTCCCCGATACCGACCTCCCTGCCACCGCGGGGGCCAATGTCAAGGTGCTGTATAAGTCTGGGCGCGTCTCTCGGCCCCGGCCATTCGTCGCGAGCGGTCCGACAGACTTCGACACGGCGCGCGCAACACCCAAGACTCGCACCGCGACAGCACTGATCATGAAGACAGCGGCCCTCCTCGTTCTCATCGGCGTCGCCCTCGCCAGTCCAGCCGGCAAGTATAAGGGCCTCGAATTCCTGAGCCCTTGCTCCAAGGCCGACCCGGAGCTCGAGGCCTGCCTCGCGAGGGCGGCGAATTCGCTGGCCCAGAACTTCCGCTACGGTGAGTATCGATCGAGTTTACTGCCCTGACGATCCTCCTCTTGGCACTTTTCACTGTTCCTCCTCGTAATACGAATACTCAACCCGCCAATCCAACCATTTCCCCAGTTGTCGCTTTTCAATATTTACCTCTCTCTCTCTCTCTCTCTCTCTCTCTCTCCCTCTCCCTCTCTATTTAATAATAGTAGACTTTGGCCTTTGACGCGATTAGAACGAAGTTGATACGTATACGACTCACAAAAGGCTATATCTATTGGCTCGTGAAAGAGGCGAGAATCGCGAATCGAATGCAGTCGCGCGACGTTCCTTTGGCCAAATTCACCCAAAGTCTTTTGCCACGAGATTCCTCCAATATAGCTTCGGCACAGATATAAGATGATTTTTAAGTTATTTTCGTTCAAAGTGTACGCGGAGGAGATTGAATAAATAAGACAAAAATAAAAAATAAAAGAATCAAATAAAAAAAAAACCAAAAAAATAATTAACAGAATATCATCATACTTTTTTTAATGTATCGCTCGGCATATACTTTCACTTGCGCTAATCGACCGCATGTATCCCATTACCCACTACTTTTCTTTTACACGAAATGTCTAGGAGAGCTTCGAGCGCACACAATCATTACGCACAAAACCCTTAATATATTATTCCGTTGCAATAATAACTTGAGATTTCGCGACTGCAAACCAATATGGAAACGTGACGTTAATAAGCCATTGCAACTCGATCGAATTGTACGCGCGAGGGATGCGCGATAAACTTTTCTAAGCAGTTCCCGTTCACGGAAAGTGCAGGAATATCGTAGCGAGCATAGCAAAGCCGAAAATACAAGACAAACGTGGCGCAAGATAAAAAGCAGGTTATAACGGTGGATTTGAATCGTCATTAAGCAATGTCCCACATTGAGTGTGGCGTCACACGAAGCACCGACGCCGACTGCACCGCAAAGCACAAAATTGTCTTTTAGTTCGGTATTGACTGTATGGTTTGGTTCGTGTTGCCTCTAGCGACAAAAAAGGAGATTCGCTCTTTGCATTTACTCGTCGATCCTTTAATTTGAAAAGAAGTCAATTGTGAAACGAGCCGTTTGCACGATCCTTTATAAGAGCCTTAATGAATAATTTCGTCGCAAAACTGTGAGAGTCGTAGTAACAATGGTCGCATAAAAGTTGAAAGGCGCGGTGTGTGTGTGTGTGTGTATGGGGGGGGGGCGTTTAATCGTTTGGTTGCAGGCATAAAATCATTATGTTTTTCAAAGAAAGTCGATATTTAGTGGCTTTCGAGGCAAAAAAAAAAATAATAATAAATAATAATAATAATAATAATAAAACAATATTCGGGCCATTACAAGATGAGGAGACGTAATGAGCGAGCGAATGATTTCTAGTCGCGTGAATGTGACATAAGTTTTTACGGACCATAATACCACGATAATTTCAAATAAATTAAAATTATACTCCACTCTAATGGGCACCTCCGAATAAACTATCCACGCGCTGGTTTCAATTAATTGCAAGGCGCTTGCTACAAGCAATTGCAATTGAATTTGAAATAGAAAGTGAGCGAGAGTTTCAAACTACAACTTATTTGCCATTTAAAAATATTCCATTGTTTTTCCAGCACTATGATCGATGCTTTTTTTTTATGTGAAACAAATTTAATAAATTAGAAAAAGCATGGACCATCGTTATAACCATTTTGTGTATATATATATATATATATATATATATATATATATATATTGATTTCATTCTAAAAAGTATGAAGAGTAATTTTTACCTCACTTTTCTGCGGTTACTTTCTATTTAGAAAACTACATATAAGGCGCCTAGAGAAAATATTATGTTCATAATGTTTTATAGTCGCATAAGTATTCAATCTACTAAGTAAAGGTTGTCTTTATTGGATTTGTAGAAAAATTGCGATTAACTGCATCTACGAACGAATGCTCATGCAATTTATGCTTCGGTAAATGCCCAAACAATTCATTATCTCGTTTTTTTTTCTCAATCCAGATACGCTGACAGTCGATAAACGATCGATTAAAGCAAATGCGCGCGCCTGTATTTGTATGAATAAATAGAATCATTCAAGGATTTTTCTTCACTATTATTATGTTAATTATTATAATTTAAAAATGCAGGCTAAGTATGAGATGATATTTTATCACAAAAAAGAAAAAAAAATTCTTTTATCTATTTATTATTTGCATTGCTTGCAATTTTTAATAACATAAATTTCAATGAAACTTTAAGAGAATTTACAATAGAATAATTTAAAAAGAAGATTTCATAATTATAAATCAAGCTATATGATAATGTATATTCGTACTTTCATTGATAGAATATGTATATATTAAAATTAATGATCTCAATTAAACGAAATATCCATTATTACAAATAGATAATAAATTTGTTTGCTTAAAAGACTAAATTTGTTTTTTTTTTGTTTTTTTTTTTATATAATATGTGAATGAGAACAATTGTATTTAATTACATCAAGTTAAATTCAAATAAATCATTCATTATTATCATTCGGACTATAATAATGAATCTTTAGTAGAAAAATATTTAATAAATTTCGTAAAAGACAAAACCATAGAGTAGATTATATTATATACACGTAAATAATTATTATATATAAAGAGATATATATATATATATATATATATATATATATATATATATATATTTCTTTATATTTTAAAATTTTCGACAATATACATAAGTATAATAATAGAATCTCGTGTGCTATAAAAAGAAAAGTAAGGTAGAGTAAATATTTTTTAATAAAGCACAAGTAATACATTTTTCAATTTACTTAATACAATCAATTAAATCTCATTATTATCATTAAAATTATTTTATATTATCATATAATTACGGAAGTTAAATAATGTATGGAATGCGTAAATTCGAAGAACCTTTTATTTTCAAAAATCATACTTTCATTCTATAAAGATCCGAATGAAAATGAAAAATTAGACTTTTTTTTATCTTCTGCTGTACAAAGTTTATGCTTTTCAAGACAATTGAATAGTAATTATCCTACTTAACAAAATTTGATTGTTATTGCATTTATACATCAACTTTTATTATCTCTTATAATATTGATGATATTCCGTCATTTAATTCTAACTTGAAACAAATTTTGATATGCACGAACATGTATCTCTTTAGATAATCTGTAATAAATATTTATTAAATAATTTAGCTGATAAACGAGTTCGGTCATCGCATTATCCATAAAATCGTAATACAAATTCATTGAAGTTCGTGCGCATACTTCAGTCAAAATCCTTTAAACAACATAATAAATTCATGGTTATCCATCACTACAGTATGGTTCAGAAATTCTTATTACACATAATTATTATTCAGTACAATACAGTTTACTATTAATTTTCAATATCTTCGATCATTCGACATTTACCGCGAATAGTTGAATAATAACAGTAACAGCCAAAAGAAGATTCATTCGATACTATGATTTTCACGTGTTGAAATTCTTTTCGAGAAAATGCTCATTATAAGCTTCTGTATTTTCTAAATGGATGTACGATTTTTTTTTATAGTTATGTTGCAACGGCATATTATTCTCTTTAATGTGCATGTCTTTGTTCTAATGGATTGTTCTGAACTGTGAAGATTAGATTGATTTCAACGATAAGATATAAATAACATTGAAATGTAATAATCACTACTTGATATGACGTTTCGGTTAAAGGAAGTGCAGAACGGGACAGCTATATATAGCCATGCTCTTTAATGTTGTAAATTTCCTTGAATATTTTAAGACAAAGTTAGTCAGATCAGAGTTACTTTTTTCCTGCCATTAATTTATCGATCGAGGACAAAAGTTGTACGCATATCTTTTATCGGTATCGCGTAATATCAATTTTTCCATTTAAGTTCAATTATTGCTAAATATTGATAATAAATGAAAATTGAAAAGTAGTCAAGCTAATAATATACGTTCATTATAAATTTGATAAATTTATGCAAATCTGATAGTATGCGTTTGTATAAGTGCTTCGCTAGACATCTTGAATAATTTTAGAATAAACGAGAAAAATAATTTTTTTTTTTACTTATATGTTGTGTTATTATGCCTATGTTTATCAATGACTAAATAATCATTAAGTTGAAAATTCATCATTTTAGACAGAAGTTTTTTTAAAAAAATTTTTTTTGTTTCTTTATCGTATAATATATCATATCACGTTTGAATGTATTTATTTATGTATGTGTGTACTATGTTCTTCTCTGTCATGTTTTTCCTCTCCTTTAACCAGCATCATATGTTGTTTTAAATTAAATTGGATGAAGTTGTTTTTCAATCAACTTTTTGTAATATCCTATTTAACTAATTAATAATCACACTAAATATAGTAAACCCTATTTGTCAGGAACAGTAATGATATTAGAGTTTTTCTTAATATGTCTGATGTAATACAGAGTTCTAATCATAAATTTACTTCTATAAAATATTACCTACTGATGTTTTTTTAATTATAGTAAAAACAAATGATAATTATACTGTGCATAAAAGTATCGTAAAATAATAATTTATTAATAAGACTCGGGATCTTAAAAAGCATATTTTCATTAGAATTCGGAGTCAAGACAAATATAGTAACTATTCATATAATCTGAGAAGTGCTATTTTAAGCAGATATATTAATATATGATATATCAACGTACGTCAACGTTAATTTAAATATTAGAATAATCTTAAATAATGTTGCTTTACATTTTTTTCTCCTAATTATTGATTATCTAACTTATTATATAACATACGATAAAATTATCTTCTTATAAAAAATATACATCGCTAATTAAATTTTACATGTTTTAATAATTCTATTATACTCTAAATTAATAATGCTTGAATTAAATACTGTAATTAATCATTTTTAAATACAAATCAGTTCATTTTCAATACTTTAGGAAAACTGGGCATTTGATTGTTTTATTATATCAATACGTAAGAATTAATATACAGTTTGCAAATAGTTATAAAAAAAAATCAGGTGTAAAAATTATGTATAATAATTTTAAGTATCAAATTTACTTTTACTTTTAATTATAATATAAAAAGTCCTATCGATAATATTATAAGGATATTTCATGAGTTTTTAAAATAAAACTGCTTAATATCATTCTTCTTGTCGTTAAAGAATTAGTTGTGTATAGAATTTTAACGTAAGAATAACGTTATCAACTATATTTAAGTCATGTAACCAATGAGAATTTATTTAAAGTATGACTTAATTGTAAATACAAATTAAAATTAACTAGTCTACGCGATTATGTAAATTATTTAGTTTATTAGTTGACGGTAAAAATATTATGAAAAGCAATTTATTATTCGCGAGGAATATATTCTATTTTATTTTTTATTAAATAACTTTATTGAATCGAATGACAAAGTTACACAAACTATAGAATATCTCTGTTTTTGTTAGTTTAACCCAAATTTAATTGCATGAAGAAAAAAAAATTACATTACCATTGTAACAGCCTTGAAGTTGAAACAAATTAAATAAATATATATATATATATATATATATATATATATATATATATATATGTGGGTATATATAATATTGTAAATGGAATAAAAGTAAAAATTATTAACGAAGCCATTTGTAATTTATTTTTTCTGAATCAGATCTTCACGTGAGCTGTGCTTTTCGATGAAAAACCAAATTTAAATAATAATCCAATATTATTAGCATTATCGTTCTTAAGAGTAGAGTAGAGGCTTTGTGAAATATGATTAGATTTTAATTTTTTAATTAACCCAAAATATCTACAATGCTATATTATTCGAAGAAATTAAAATTAAAATTGCTTATGAATTTTGAAGAAGTTCAAAGGAAAGGATATTGTAAAAAATTTATAAGTCCATTGTATTTATATTTATGAAAGTCTTATATTAATCAGCATAATTTAACGATTATCGTTTGAGAAGGATTATTAGTTACATTTTAAAAATGATATTAGATATTAAATATACACTTATAAAAGTACGTTTTTATATAAAAGATTTCATAATAAATGTCATCATTGCTTATGACATATACGTTTTTTCTTTTAAACAAAAAGTAAGATTCTTTACGAATGAAACAAAAATATTTAATTTCAATACTAATTTAAATCGTAATGTTCCTTTTACGTTTAAATTTATGAATAAATTGATAAATATAGGCGTGATGCTATTATTATAATAATTAGAAAGCTATTATTAAGTTAGTTATCAAACAATAAAAATATTTATAATTCTAGCATTCTCGAGTCTCTCTCTCTCTCTCTCTCTCTCTCTCTCTCTCTTTCTCGAATATAATAATTAAAAAAAGATATTTCACCTAAGACGTCATCAATTCATCAATTCATCTTATTAGTATCATTTACGTCTTTTCACATATCGTTATTAAGAATGCTAGAGACATAAATAAACAAAAGTACAAAAGTACATTACCCCCATAAGTAAAACTTGACAGTTATTTCAAATTCGCATAATCTCGTCGGACATGAACAAAATGACTTTAGTCAAATGTTTCCAGTATGTAGGCCCAAACAATAAAAGTATCCTACCTCTTATGATCCCCAGGTTTGCCACAGCTGGGATATACGGAGGTAGAGCCGATAATCCTCGACGAGCTTCATATCGCCCTAGGCGGGGGTCCGAATGGTTACAAAGCCCAGTTCAAGGAGATCGCGGCTCGTGGCGTTTCCGCCGTCCGGGTGACGGGTTTGCGCGCCAGGATCGCCGACGACGAGGTGCAGCTTCAGCTGGCCCTCAGCATACCTAAGATTCGAGCCGTGGCCAAGTACCGCTCGAGCGGGACCCTCATCCTCGTCCAGGCGAGTGGCGCCGGCGACTACTGGGGAGAGTACGGTGAGGATCATGTGCCCCTTGACAAGAGGCAGCCCGACATGCGGCTCTGTGCTCGCTACCCGCCGTTTCGGGGCGACGATGTTTATCGTTCGCTCGGCCGTTTTAAACTCTTTGCTCCTTGCCCACACTGTTTCCCGGCCAAACCTTCCCACTCCCAATTACTATAAAGTCCTGCTCCTTATTATTATGCCAATGTTATTGCCGATCGGAGTACTCCTCGGCCAACATAATGACTACGAGGGTTTGGCTATTTTCATTTTTGTAGACACGATTCGTTATTAGATTTCTTTCAAAAAAAAAAAAAAAAAAAAAAGTACCATTCGAGTATCTTAATAATAATGTTGTATTTTTTTGGTTTTTTTTTCCAACATATTAAATGAAATTATTGCCTTGGGCAGAGTTTTGACATTGTTAATTAATAAGGGTATATGCAGGGAAATATAGTGTGATTTTTAAAATCAGATTAATAGATTCGGGATTTTTATGTAGAATTCCATTTTTATATATAAATACTTGTCTAACGCAATATTGAAATTTTATTTTCGCGTTTTTCATTAAAGCGCAACACTTTAAAGATATAATTGATAAAGTTCTAAGAGTTACTTAAATTCTTATTTACGGATTAGTTTACATTTTACGAAATATCAATATATTCTTATAAAAATAATTTTCTTACGTAATGTAAAACGTCAATTGTTATTATATATTTTTTTAATATAATATTACGTTGAATAATATATGAATATTTGTGGTTTAAAAATAGTATTTGCCATTCAAAACTAATTAAGATAAATAACGTATGCACACATAAGCACATAAGTAGTTACACGTAGACACACGCACTCACGTACGAACGTACGCGTATTAAAATGGCTTGGACTTTAAGTAGTTTTATCTATAGTAAAAAATAATTTTAGCCCTATTTGTAGAAGCCAATAAACACGGCAAGTGCAATTACGTTCCAATAGAAAATTCTTCTTCTTCTTCTTCTTCTTCTTCTTCTTCTTCTTCTTATTATTATTATTATACGGTTATATTAATTTTCATTTAAAGTCTCAAAGTAAATAATCATGTAAAAGAGTTACTAGTGCTACAATCGTTTCTTCAGTAATTTTCAAAACAAAGATCATCGCGTGCTTTCACATAAAATAATGATAAAAAAATATTTTAAAATTAAAAAATTAAATTACGTCTGAAATATCGATTTTTTTTTAATTTTTTTGTTGGATAAATTTGAGTTAAATTTCTGTATGTTAAACCGGTCGATAAGGTAAATGCGATTTGTAAGGATTTATAAGTTCGGATAAGAATGAATATGGATTGCAATGCAAAAATAAAATTCTTAAGTGGACTGGAGAGGTTACACGGCTCGAATGGCAATAACAACATTTATGTAGAAATTAAACATAATTTTTTATCTTATGATAAAAAGCGAATTTTATATTTAAAAAAAAAATATATAAATAATGTATGGAATAAAGTAAGGAGCGCTGAGTCTCATTTCAATTATTCGATGACTTTCAGATGGAGTCAAGGCAAAGGTATTTATAAGGGCCAAGCCCTATGTCGTTCAGGAACAGCAATTTCTCAGGCTTCAGCAGCTCAAGATGGATTTCACCGTACGAGATATCAGAATGGGCGTGGAAAATGTTCACGACGGCAATACTATTCTCCGTAAGTTAATTAATCAGTTTTGCGACTTGGGAAAGTGGATGCGCCGTACAGTCGCGTGCGCACATACTTATGCGCATTTGCATAAACATGATATTTTCTGATTGTACCAATTTACGATATTTCGACGTTTCCTTATCGATTATACATATTAATTTTTAATTAGTAAGATTATATCTTGATTATTAATATAAAATTGTATATGGCGAATATTATCGTAGTATCTTAATCGTTTTAAAAATCCATTTCTTTCTTAAAATGAAAATAAAATTTTAGTAAAAGCAATTCAAATACTTTTTGCACAATATTGACAAATTTTATTAAAATAAATTCTTTCAAATTACTAAATAGATCGTCTCAGATTGTTGTTATAGAACTTCCGTACATTCCTCAATGAAATATTCTCACTCTCCCTCAAGCTTCAATTAGCATTTTCATAGTAAAATTCATAGATTTATTATTTAATAATTTAGTTTGTAATAACACCAATGCTGCGGATTACTTTCCTTGATTATTATTTTTCTTTTTAATTCTTTACTCGATGACTGTCCTATACCTATATACATTTTATTGAATAAATACTTGATTTTTTTTCTTCAGAAGCAGCATTGAATCTTTTCATCAATAGTAACAGCCAGGAGCTTTTGAAGGAAATGAAACCAGATCTCAGAAGAAAACTTGTTCAAGTAATGTCGACATTCGTCGAGAAAATATTCGCTCAAGTACCTTACGATGCTTTTCTTACAGACTGAGTACCATTAAATAATAATACAAAATACGCACTAATAATTTAAGCAAATTTCTAGCTCAATATATTTTCTATTTTTTTCTTTTTCTTTTATGTTAGCCACTATGAGAGACAGCAATATTAAAAACGAATTAATCATTAATGATTTACATTTTAAGCAGATTTTTAAGTATGAATAAAATATTTATCTAGCATGAAGTACTTATAATATACTGTTTCAACTATAATTTATTATTTATAATGTGCAAATTATTGACGCCCATTAGTATTTTACATATAATGTTATGTGTCGAGCTCTTTGCATTTTTATGTTAATGTACTTATTTTAAATATGTTAAACGTCCTTTTTAAACTCAAGGACGCAAGTTTTACTTTGTTTACTTTTTTAATTTTTCTTCTTCTTCTTCTTCTTCTTCTTCTTCTTCTTCTTCTTATTATTATTATTATTACTTTTTTTTTTCATTAAACGACTTAATGAAAATTATGGATTAATAAATTCGAACATTCGATTGAGTTTTTAATAAGGGAGTTACATTTTTAATATGCGTAACCGGCAATAGTTTTATTGTAACGACACAGCCCCGATGCATGACACATTGAAATAGTTTGCGAACAGTAAATAACCATCTGTGGTCGAAAAAGAAAAAACAAAAAACAAAAAAACTAATCGTACAGCTAGAATTACGTAAATTCTGCTGTACATTTGAAAATTTCTCGTCATATTTATCTGCATATGATATCATTGGGATTATCAATTTTTCCATTCTTTTTCTTATTATTATTTATTTTTTTACCGTCATTTATTACTATTGCGGCTTTTTGTAGGCTGCATATAACAATGTAGGTTAAGAACGATTGGCACATTAATCTTCACTTAAATCATCAATATTAAGTAGAGACGAACATTTATGAATACTCGGCCGCTATTGAAAAAGAATGAGAAAAAGTCGTATAGGCGTCATATGTAGATAGATGTTGTTTCATTCAATTCTCTTTTATCATGGAGACAGTAAATGTGATTTTCTTAGAATCTGCAATATAATGTAAAAATGTCCGCATAGTATCTAGATGTAATAACACTTCTCTGCTGAAAAGAATGAAAAGAATTCAGAATCATTTAGAATTAAGTTATGATGTAATTTTATCATTAAAAGTGTATCGCAATATTTATTTTAATACTGAGGCTACTTCCATAAGAAGTCAATTTAGTAGATCCGTAAAAACTAGAAATAGATATTATAACACAATTACATGTAATACTATTTCACATTTTTATAAATATGTTCGTAGAAACAAAAAAAAAACAACGAAAAAAACAACAACAACAAAAAAAAAACAAAAAAAAAACAAAAAAAAAAAACTAAAAAAATAAAGAAATAAACCAAACAAAAAACAAAAAACAAAAACAAAAAATTGAATTTGCAATTCATACGAAAACTTGCATTTTTTATTTTTCTAATTATCATAATAACAAATGCTAAGATGTTATCTGTAAGATATTACTAAATTATTATCATTATTTACATTGAGAAGTTTAATCAAAATCTACTTCCGTACTGATCCTTATAATAATACGATAATAGATCATTCGTTAATTATAGTTTTATTCACAACAACAACAACGATTTACAATTAATTAATTAAAAGAAAGTAATAGTTAGATAGACAAACTTTTATTCGCAATACGTTTTCAATACAATATAGCGCAATAAAATTTTTATTTTAATTTTAATTTGCACAAAAACCAGGATTCATCATATCAAGCATATTCATATTGCCTATCTGTGAAGAGTAAGAATCTCATATTTATATATTATATTACAAAATTATAAAATTAGAATATTAAAAAGGAAAATTATATAACTATTTAGTCTGATTAAATTGAAATCCGAATTAATGTTGAAAATTGTTATCGATACAACTAACAATAACATTCCGAATAATCCATTCATGTTTACCTCTCAGCAGTATCTTTAATAATAAATCGTTTATTTTAATAATTATTTATCTTATCATTTGTAAGTATATGTCGGCATATTTCTTAAATTTCGATATTATGTGATAGTAAGTATATGTAACAAAAAATAATTACAATAAAAACTATATTAATAATTTCTTGATTTATTTAAATTATTTTGTCTTCCTAAAACTATTAGCTAACAACATCAGCTATAATTTATAGTTAAGTATTTTTGCAAAATCGATAACAAGTTTCTTTTTAGTGTTATTCAAATAGCTTTGTATTAAACTTTCATTCCATCGTTTGGGAAATATAGTCATAAAATATAGTCAATCGTGTGTTGTTGATGTTTCGTGTGACTTTTAAGTACACGTCGTTTGTAATATAAATACCGAATAATTCAATTTACTTACTACGTTCATGTGGAAAAAAAAATTCTTTATTATTATCAATGATAAATTACAAAAATTGATTCAATTTTTACGAATAATTGGATTATAGAGGAGTTGAGTATATTGTCGAATGATTAAAATGACGTAAAATATTTCTCGATTCCATCAAGAAATTCAATCATATCAAAGAATCGTCGTATTTCAGTGCGAAATTGTTTATATTATTTAATTAATCAATTTACACGATTCTTAATAGAATTCCACAACGACATTTTTTATTCCAATTTTACGAAGCTTCTTGGCTCACTCATAAAACTTACTTATAATGTGTTTTACGTAATCTTTCTCGATTGCTTTTCCATCGCTTTTCACACATGCCAATAAATCTACAAAGTATTTATTGAATAGTCAATAATGATATTAAATTATTATTGTATTAAAAATTGATTTTTTTTATTTTAAATAAAATATTGAATCAACTTATTGAAACGTTTATTTGATGGATATATTATTTTTATTTTAAAATTGTCAAAGAAAGATAAAATTATCATCCCATTGTAGAAATTATCAATTAATGGAACGAGTAGAGCTGAGATTATTATTATCAATGATAAAAAATTCCAGTACCTTGTTAATTTAACAATATTTTTACGATTGATGAATTATGGTTATGGCAAAAAATTATATATTTATACAAATTTGCGAGTTAACGAGCGTTAAAAACAAAAAGTTCTCTATCTTCATAGCATTATTGTGAATGTTATTGGAAAATTTAGACAATAACATTTAAGTTGACGGTTTAATTATGAATTTGAATAAATGTTAAATCTAATTCACAATTTCTATGAGAAAAATCTCTGTTTCGTACGTGCCTACTTTTGGATTTTAATATAAAAAATGTTGTACGAAATTTAAGTACGTAATTACGTACGAAATTTTTGGAAATGTTTTTACGTATGTTATTATGTCACAATGAATATAATTACTTTCTTGGAATTATAATTTAGACGAATTTCATTGCAATTAAGAGTAATCGAGTATTTTATAAGCTTATCACAATTAATGAGTATTATAATACTGATAATATCGTTATGTATTTTTTATGTAATATCATTATAATAGTAACATATTTTCCAATAGAATTTTATTAATTGTTAACAAAGTTTTATTCTAAATATATTTTCATTCGATATTATACAGATTCACAATTTCGATTCAGCTATATGCTCTTATCGAATATGTTTAAGTAATTATTAACTTAAATATAATTTACTCTATAATCAATATTAATTAAAAAAAAAAAAAATAAATAACTTTATGTTAATTTAGTATAATTTTTATTTAAATTTTAGTTTAGCGGCACTAAATGAGTCACTCTATACTCTATTTTTAAATTGTAAAAGAAAAAAGCAATTATAATTAATGTACACAAATACAAATGTACACAATTTGTTTGGAATTATGAATTATAGTTGACCAAAATTAGTTTGAAAAGGTATAGTTCAAGTATCTTTTCCTACTTTTATATTTTCAATTTCATAATAAAGATAGAAAAATATAAGGATATATTGAAACATACGTAAAAAGTTCATTTCACATATGTTTACAAAGAAATATCTAAATAAATTTTTTCATAATTACATATAGTGGAATAACCCGAAGATAGCAATTTAAAAAATTATCTTTTCACAGGTAATTAAGGTTTTAGGCGTTGAAAAATAAAAATTTTTGTAAGATATGAAACGATTATTATGGCTAATTCATGGATTGTTCAACATTTGCTTGAAAATGCCTGTAAAATTTGCATTCTTAATGACGATTGCATTAATTTACAATGATATATTGTATGAATTTTATATGAATTGAAAAAAAAAAAAAAAAAAAAAAGTATTTTTAAGCAATTCACTATTTTTAGCAAATCCAATTGAAACGATCGGAACAGTATAAATTATCCGAGTGATCAATAAATAATAATGTTAATTAAGTAATAATGTTGTGTTGTAATAACGTTAATACTATTACTATTGAAGTGAATTAAAATGCAAATAATTTTTATATTCTTTTTTTTTTATTTTCAAATATATTTATAACTTTATCTGCTAAATATAAACAAATAAATAGAAGTAATAAACATTTAAAATATTTCCCTTCACATCGAATAGATTTATGAAATGTATTTAATAACTTCTTTAGCGTCATTAAACTTAAAAAAAAGTAACAAGATAAATTTGACTAATAAAAATGTAATTGATTACATTGTTTTCAAATAAAAACTCAGTTTACGTCATTTAAGTCTTGACGAAACTGCGATGCTATAAATTAACGGCTTAATTAAATTATAAAGTACAGAGACTAATTTGTCAAAGATTATGCTAAAATGTATTGGATAATTGCAAGAATCTTTCATGACTCAAATGAATGTTCTGAAATATGTAGACACGTATTTTTCAAATAAAAATTTTCTATTTTCAACAATTTTCAAGCACTTTTTGGATAAGAGATAAGACATTGTTGAATTATTGATCGGCGTATTTAAGAAAATTATCGGTTTTCCTATTTCTTAGAATTGCGCAGTTTTCAATCTAATGTCGCGTTCATGCCATTTAAATAAATAATTCTAAATTGCTTTGATATTATTTACTTTTAATTTCATTAATATCTTTAGCAATTTGTATCGGCTAAAAGGAGATAAAATGGGATAAACGAAGAG